CCCCCCGCGCCCAGCCAGCCCCTGCCCCTGGCAGGTGACCCAGCTCCCTGTGGCCTGGGACTAGGAGATGGGGCTGGACCGAGGCCTGGAAGGGGCAGGAAGTGGAGGGGAGTGAGGCAGCTGCAGCCTGACGCCGGCGCCTTGAACTGGGCTCTCGCGCCTGTCAGCAGCTGGGTGCCAGCGCCTCCCCACCACGTGATCCTCGGAGGGCCTGTGGGGGAGGGGCGGGCTCCAGGAGCGGCGCCGGAGGCCTTTGCATGTCTGCTGCTGTCTGTCCCCAGGAGTCCATTCCTCCCCACCCCCTGTGCCTCCAACTTCAGCATGGGGCCTCCCAACGGTCTCCTGCCCGGTCCTGGCTCTCCACTGCAGACCCGGATGGTCCAGTGTCTCCCCACGCATCGCCTGGGCCCAGGGCTTCCAGTGCTACCTAACATGTGTGTTTCACTTGCCCAACCTCCACTGTCAGCTTCGAACCTCTGCTCATGAAACCAAATTCTTCAAACCCAGGCAGGGTGGGCGAGGGCGGCGCAGGGGCTTGTCCCTGAGAGCCGGCTCCTGCTATGTGACAGCGCTGGCCTGGTGCTCCCAGCTGCGGACACAGAACCTGTGCAGAAAGCCGTGAAACAGCCGCAGGCAGGCGCCCGGTGAACGCTGCTGGTCACTGGAAAGCTGCCACTGGTGGGGCTGGGAAAAGCTTTTCTGAAAGTATGTGTAGTGTTTACCTTAAAAATTCACATCGACTCAGAGAACTTGGAGAGGGGACCTTTAAAATAGGACTTTAGAAGATGTGTAATTCCATTAAAGATTTTGAGATGATCCCGCCATCCTGGTGGCCTCAAATCCAGCACAGGTGGTGGTCCTGATAAGCAAAGGAGGAGAGGACAGACACAATCCCTGGGAAGGAAGGAGGCCCCTGTGAGGGACAGGGGCAGAGGTGGAGCTTTCATATGTGGCACTAAAATACCTAGAGAGATCTGCTGGAGCCAAAGCAGAAGTGGAAGAGGGTAGAACCTCCTTTTCTGAGTTTTTATACAGGCCTTATTACTGGCCTGACTTTGGCCTCCCAAGGCATACGAGGGAACCCCTGTTGAAATGAAACCTTCCATTTAGAAAGATTTTCTCAGAGCCCAGGAAACATTCCATCTTCAAAACCGGACATCAAAGTGGATCACATCAGCCACAGCGCTACAAAGCTGTAATTGCCTGCTCCCGCGCGCTGAGCGGATACCCGGGGGCTGCAAGGTTTAGGCGCGAACCGCTCAGGCGCAGATTTGCAGCTTGGCCGTGGGTGGGCGGCGGTGGGATGGAGATGCTGAACTAAGGAGCGCGTGGGGCGGGGAGGGTAAAGGTGGCTATGGTTGCAGAGAGGCTGGAACGCCCTCTGAGCTCGCTGGTCAGACGCTTGAGAAGTGAGCGCCACCGCTGCAGTAAATGCCAGTGTCTCTAAGGTAAGCAGGCGCGCTTGGTCCATGGAAAGCAGCCTGGGGCACTTAGGGACGGGACACCAAAGATCGCCTCAAGCCAGCTCCAGCAGCCACCTTTATGCGCCAGCCCAGCCCCGCCACCTGAGCTGCCCGCGCAGCTCACACCGGCGCCCGGATTGATGCCTGAGCCGCGCCGCGCCGAAAGCCCAGGGCAAAAAGGCGGTGAGGTTTCGCAGGGGCGCCACGGGCGGGGTCACCGTCTCCATGCGCTTAGTGGAGACAGTCTGTCATCAGCTCTCTGGCACGGCGCCTGGCGCTGGCCTCTCCTTTCTTTTCTACATGACGCCTTGCAGCCTGTCCCTCCACGCCTCCTCCGGACTCGCGAATCCGCCTCATTCCCAGGCCTAGGGGGCCGCCGCCAACAAATGTGAGGCGGGAAATTAGGGCGTGGAGGGCTGAATGAAGCCAAGCAGCCCGCAGCAGGTTTTCAGACAACCTGGGCCATAGAAATTGCCTGAATGAGCCGTCTCGGGTCCTGACACCACCGCGCCCCGGTGCAGGTGGGGTGTCAGACCCCCGCAGCGCCGGGCTTCTCCGGGCCTTGCTGTCGCCCGCGGGCCTGTGGCGATGGAGGCTGCTGAGAGCACTCCTCCCGCACCCTGGGAGCAGCTTCTTCTCAGGATCTGAGGAGCCCTTTATTCTGCGGTTTCAAGCTACGTAAATGGAGCCAGGGAGGTGAGAAGTAAGGCCTCCCGGCCGTGGCGGCTGGTGTTTTGATGGGGTTTGGGGCTGCTGTTTTGATGGGGGTTATGGGGCTGCTGTTTGGATGGGGGGTTGGGGACTGCTGTTTGGATGGGGGTTGGGGCTGCTGTTTTGATGGGGGCCGGGCTGCTGTTTTGATGGGGGGTTTGTGGCTGCTGTTTTGATGGGGGTTTGGGAGCTGGTGTTTTGATGGGGATTGGGGGGCTGGTGTTTTGATGGGGGTTGGGGGCTGCTGTTTGGATGGGGTTGGGGGCTGCTTGATGGGGGTTGCGGGCTGCTGTTTGAGCTGGGGTTGGGGGCTGTTGTTTGATGGGGGTTTGGGAGCTGGTGTTTTGATGGGGATTGGAGGACTGCTGTTTTGATGGGGTTTGGGGGGCTGCTGTTTTGATGGGGTTTGGGTGTTTTGATGGGGGTTGGGGGCTGCTGTTTGGATGGGGTTGGGGGGCTGCTGTTTTGATGGGGTTGGGGGCTGCTGTTTGGATGGGGTTGGAAGGGGCTGCTGTTTTGATGGGGGTTGTTGTTGCTGTTTGGATGGGGGGTTGCCGGGGTTGCTGTTTGATGGGGTTTATGCTCCCTCTCAGTGTCACCGCCCGCTTGATCCACCTGGGTGATGGCGGGAGAGCGCCTGCCTTCTGCGCAGAGCCCCTGGGGAGAACCCACAGAGGACTGGGCCCCCAGCCTCCACCTCCCGACTCGCCCGGAGCCTCTCTCTGGGGAGAGGTCTCCCGCCTGTGAAGCATCCCCCTGCCCTGGCGTGACCCAGCCCCCATGGCCTGGGACTCCAGGAGAGAGATGGGGCTGACCGGAGGCCTGAAGGCAGGAAGTGAGGGGAGGAGGAAGCAGCCTGGAGCCGGGCGCCTTGAACTGGGCTCTCGCGCCTGCTGTCAGCAGCTGGGTGCCAGCCTCACCACGTGATCCTTCGGAGGGCCTGGGGGCGTGGCTCCAGGGAGCAGCTGCAGAAGTAGCTCCAGGAGGGTGTGTGCGTTTTCCTGGGAGGGGTCTGCAGCTTTCATGGTTTCTAATGGGATCCCTGATTCAAAGGCGCCGTCATGAATCTCGCTCTGCAGGGTCTTCACAAAGCAGAAGTCATGGGGACTGACCGCTGCAAAGTGGAGGGCGCTTCCCCTGGTCACTGGCTGCATTTTCATCTTACAGCTGGGGTTGGTCCATCTTCCCGACCTCAGTTGCAATACATGTTTTAACGATTATACAAGGTTATAAATCCTCACTGTGGAAATGCACATAGAATGTTCATAGAACGGCCAAAAGGCTTCCTTTTGACCACTCTACCCTAATTTGCAAGCCTCAGCACCAGTGGCTGCCCTAGGGCCTGAGGAATCGGGTCAACAGGGTTCGGGGTACAGGGTTGGGCAGGGTCTGGCGGGAGGGCTGCAGGGGCCTCCGTGGGCACAAAGGCCAAAGCGCCACACATGTGGGCTCAGGAGAACTTCCTAAAGAAAATTAGGGTCACCCATCACAGATGGAGACTGGGGGAGCTCTCTGGAGGCAGGGTCTGTTCCTCCCAGGCCTGTGGGAGCCTCTGCAGAGGACGCTTTTCGAGAATTAAAAGCTTCCTTGGGAGACGCTGTACAGCAGAGAGCCGAGTCTATTTATAGCTGGTGGTGAGACAGGAGGACTGTGTGAGAGGGATGCCATCTGGGGTTCTGGGGCCCCCAGCCAGTGCTGGCCGGGCGCCCTGCAGCACCTGGTAGCCTGGTGCCCCAGGCAGAAGCGCCCGGGAACCCAGCTCTGGGTGAGGAGAGTCAGTCACGCCTCCGCCTGGGCTGCCAGGAGCCAGAAGGCAGCCCAGAGGTTAGCGGCCGGGTGGCTAAGTCCATCTGAGCCCACAAACCTCAGCCAGGGTCAGGATCAGGCAGCAGAATCTACACACGCCTAGTTCCTACTGCTGAGCAAAGTGTTTCCCTGGGAAGGGGGCGTGGCAGCCAGTGGTCAGGCCCAGCCACATCTGGGCTCAGACCTGGTCCCCGCACTAGCCAAACCCCAAGATGCCCTGGGCGGACTCCCAGGAGACCACCTCTCTTGGTGTGTGTGTGTTAGGGCACAGGGCCACAACCCACCGCATGCCCTCTGATAGTGTCCTCTTCCACCAGGCAGCCCCCACTCCAGGGCAGCCCCCACCCAGATGGTCCCCCACCCAGGGCAGCCCCCACCCAGATGATCCCCCACCTGATGATCCTCACCTGGTGCACCACCCAGGTGATTCTCCCACACAGGGAAACACCCACCCAGACAGCTTCACTCTCACTGTATCTCCCACCCATGGCACCCCCCCACCCTGATGATCACCCACAGGGCTTCCCTCCTAGGTGAATGTCACCAGCAACAGGGACCACTCTATGGTGACATCCTCTCTCAATACATCAAATTTCCCAGAGCTACTCCTCCCAGAGCCAGCACTGCTGTGGAGTATTCCTTTCCCAAGGCTCCACCCACTCCAGGACAACGTCCACAAGGATTCCCCACCCAGGGCACCCGCCACACCCAGGGCATTTCCTCTCACCTGGGGTAACTCCTCATGCACCTTGTAGTACTCCCTCCCACCCAGCTTCTTCCCTACATGGTACCTGCACCCAGGGTACCCCCACACACACCCCAGGGGCATCCTCCCCACCCTGTTAGGGCAAATTCTGCCCAGGGAGCTCCCACATGGAATCTCCACCCAGGGTATCCTCT